GGTCCATTCGAACGGATTGTTCAATACCGAGCTTCGCTGGGACCCAAAAACACTCCAACTCGTGTCTCAAGGCACGGCGGCAGCCACCGCCGGATTCAGCACCGTGTCCTGGCACCTCAACGATTTCGGTGTGTGCCTCTGGTGCGTGCCCGCACTGCCGCAGAGACTTCTGTTCTCGGCTCCGCCTGCTCGCTCACTTCTGTGACGCTCGCCGCGCGCGATGTTGGCATGCCGTCCGCAATGACTCGCCCCTGCGTCTCAGCGAGGACAAAGTTGCCGAGCTCGCTTCCCTGGAAAATGCTGCCCGCCTGCCTGTCCGCTGTGCTGGGCAGAGTCACGACATAGCTGTGCTCTGCTGTGCGGACGGTCTTGGTGTCGCCACTACTAGAAGTGAATCCAGCGTGGATTTGTTCCTTCGCTTTTCCATATGATAATTGCTCGTCTCATTCGCACGCGTCCATCGATCATGAGGCTTGACCGTCTGTGTGAATACCGTGTGGACAAAAACAAAAAAACATTGTTCGCTCTTACTTGCCCGTGTGTCATTCAAAACGAGTTCCCCACACCCTCGATACCCGCCTTTTTTGTCTTCGATCACACCCCCTTTGGGGGGAATGTTCCTCTTTGCGGGGGGTGGCGGGCTTAGACAGACGGGCAAACCTGAACGGGCGGACAATCCTTTGTGGGCGTACACGTGTCCGCCATTGGAATTGGTGTGGGCCTTGCAAAAAGAGGAGGGGGAGAGCGAGGGAGAGCGGGAGGAAGGGAGGGGGAAGGACGAAGGATGAGGGAAAACGCCAGGAGAGAAGGAGCGAAGAGGGGAGCGGTTGATTAGAGGCAGAGAGAGAGAGAAAGACAGATAAGAGAGGTAGAGAAAAAGAGAGAGAGGAGAGAGAGAGAGAGGGGAAAAAAAAGAGGGAGGGAGGAGGCAGGAGAGGTGAGGGAGAAGGGAGGAGGGAGAGGAGGGAGAGGGGATAGGGCAGAGAGGCAGAAGGATGAGGGAGGAGAGGAGGGAGAGAGAAGGGAGGAGAGGAGGGAGGAGGGAGGAGGGAGAGGGAGGAGGAGCAGGAAGGTAAGAGCGTGAACTTTCGAGGAAGTCCTAGGCGAAAGCGCCGTTCCTGAAGGAAGTCTCGGGCGGGAGCCCACGACGGGCGGGCGATCCCCTGATGGGCGGGTCGGGCGGGCGGGACATTCAAACGGGATGCCTGAGTATGGCGAGAGCGCGCTTATTAAGTAAATTGTAACGGCGTCCTTGGCGCAGCGTGTTTCCTGAGCGTCGAAAGCGCGATTTCTGAATAAATTGCATGGAAGTCACAGGCGAGAGCGCAATTCCTGAATAATATGTGAAGGGTTCTCTGGCGGGAGCGGGGGTCTTGATTAAATTGCGAAGTCTTGATTCCATTGCGAGGAAGTCTAAAGCGGGAGCGCCGCTCCTGAGTGAAATGTGAGGAAGTTTCAGATGAGAGTGGGGGTCCTGACTAAATTGCGAGGGCGTCACAGGCGGGAACGCCGATCCTGAGTAAATTGTAAAGAAGTCTCAGGAGCGGGGGTCCTGAGTAAAGTTGGAGGAAGTCTCAGGCGGGAGCCGTTGTTGTTGCAATCCGGGGCGCCAGGGGCGCAGTTTGATCACCAAGAGTTTCCCTGTCAAAAAACAGGGTGCGAGTGTCGAGTGACACACTTTGGTTGAAAAAAACAGCATGCACCGGTGATGGGGGGAACAACAATAATAATTGTTCAGAAATGCGAATTCAACAGTCATAGTAAGAGTGTTCGCTGTTATCTGTTCGCGTGCCATCCCAACACGTATATCCCAAACCCTCGATACCCGCCCTCTTCGTCTTCGATCGTACCCCCTTGGGGATATATTTCTCTTACGTGCAACGTGTATTTCGTGCGGCCCCTAAGGCAGGGGAAGACAGGACGGACGGAAGAAAGGGACAAGGTGGAGGGAGGAGGATGGAGCACAAAAGACAGTAGCAGGAAGGGGGCTACGAGCAAAAAACGCGTGGCAGAATTAGACGGGCAGATCGAGCTAGAACCTAACAGGCGGGTCGGGAAGGCGGGCCCGGGCGGCCAGGTCGAACAGGCGGGTTGCTGGAGCGTGCGTCCTGCGTGATTCGCGAAGAGGCCTCGAGCGATAGCGCTATTCCCAAGTAAATCGCGAGATAAGCCAAAGCGAGAGGGCGACCCCTGAGTGTCGAGGGCGCGGCGTCTGAATAAATTGCGAGAAATCCCACGCGAGAGCGCAATTCTTGATTAAATTGTGAAGCTCTCCCGCGCGAGAGCGCGATTTGGGAATACATTGCGAGGAACTATCAGGCGGGAGCCGCTGCACTTAAACACCGGGCCAACAACCAAATTCTGAAACCCAAGCCGTTCTTTGCTTAAAAAAACAGGGTGCGAGCCCTGGGAAGGGCACATAATTTGTAAAGGCACCATGTGCCCCAGAGGGGGGATCAACAATACTTATCATTGAACAATGACAGTTCAACAACAACAACAACAACAACAACAACAACAACAACAACAACAACAGCAACAGCAACAGCAACAGCAACAGCAACAGCAACAGCAACAACCATAGCCACAACCACAACAACAACAACAACAACAGCAACAAACACAATTACTAGCACGTGGGGACACTCCGTTCTCACCAGTGCCAGGGTTTTCATAGGGGGCGGGCAATACCCCCACTTTGTGGGGGGGCCGGTTCAAGCTCTACCAAATTTCCAAACGACTCTTCGCCACCACCCACACCCAGCTTCCCGCCCTATGACGTTCGGACACTTCACTTCGTGGCATGCGGACGACCGTGGCTACTATTCAGGGCCCCGCGGCCGACGACGACGGCGTGCGCGCGCGAAGAAAAAACGAATGTGTCCCGCATGGTATTATTTGACAGGGATGATGGCCCTGGCAGGTGCGCAACCGTTGTCGCAGAAGTTCGAAAAAGTTGCTCGCAAAAGCCCGTTTGACAGAAATGTTTAAAAAGTGTTGGGTTTCCTACGAATCCGCAAGAGCGCGCGGGATGAGATTTTGACATTTTTTTGTTGAAAAACCATTGGTTTTTTTATGTTTTTATGTTAAAATCGCTCCGAACACTAAGCTTTTGGAAGGATTTCGTCTTGCGCGCGCGAATGTCCACTTTACCTTATTTTTTGCAAGGGATTCTTGAAATTTGATTATATTAGAACAAGAAATGTCATTTTCTATTGTTTTTTGCAAGGGAAAGCGGATTACAACAAAACAACCGGATCCTGTACACACCCTCTTTTCTGAGGCTTCCTCACGAAAATGATGAAAATGTAGCTGCGGCCTAGGCGGCGCAGGGGGGGCGCGCACCAGGGGGCCCAACAATAATTATTCTTTAGAATAAATAATGTTTAACAAAAACAATGACAAAAACAACAGTCATTTTACGACTGTTCGCTCTTATCTGCTCGCGGGTCAGTCAACACGATTGTCCCAAACCGTCGATACCCGTCCTCTTCATATTCGATTGTACTCCTTTGGGGGGGGATACTTCACACCTGCAACACAGATTTCGTGCAGCCCCTAAGGCAGGGGAAGAGAGGACGGACGGCAGAAAGGGACAAGGTGGAGGGAGGAGAACGGAGCACGAAAGACAGTAGCAGGAAGGGGGCTACCAGCAGAAAACGCGTGGCAGAATTAGACGGGCAGATCGGGCTAGAACAGGCGGGTCGGGAAGGCGGGCCCAGGCGGCCAGGTCGAGCAGGCGGGTTGCTGAAGCGTGCGTCCTGCGTGATTCGCGAAGAAGCCTCAAGCGATAGCGCGATTCCCAAGGAAATTGCGAGATAAGCCAAAGCGAGAGGGCGATCCTTGAGTGTCGAGGGCGCGGCGTCTGAATAAATTGCGAGAGATTCCCACGCTGGCGCAATTCTTGTAGAAATTGTGAGGCTCTTCCGCGCGAGAGCGCGATTTGGGAATACATTGTGAGGAACTATCAGGCGGGAGCCGCTGCTGTTGTAGACGGGGGGCCAACAACCCAATTCTGAAACCCAAGCCGTTCCCTGCTTAAAAAATACGGGTGCGAGCCCTGGGAAGGGAACTTCATTTGAAAAGGCACCATTTGCCCTGGAGGGGGATCAACAAGACCTATAATCTAGCAATGACAGTTCAACAACAACAACAACAACGACAACAATAACAACAGCAGCAGCAACAGCAACAGCAGCAGCAACAAACACAAGAACAAAAACAAAGACGAAAAGAACAAAAATCATTTTACGACTGTTCGCTCTTATCTGTTCGCGGGCCATTTCAACACGTCTGGCCCAAACCCTCGGTACCCGCCCTCTTCGTCTTCGACCGTGCTCCCTTGGGGGGGTATATTTTTTATCTGCAACGCATATTTCGCGCACCCCTCTTTGGCAGGGGAAGAGAGAACGGCTGGAAGGAAGGGACAAGGGGGAGGGAGGTGGATGGAGCACGAAAGACAGTAGCAGGAAGGGGGCTGAGAGCAGAAAACGCATGGCAGAACTAGACGGGCAGATCGGGCGGTTTCACCCTAACAGGCGCATCGGGGAGGCGGGCCCGGGCGGCCACGTCGAGCAAGCGGGTTGCTGAAGCGTGCGTCTTGGATGAATCGCGAGGAAACCTCGAGCGGCAGCGCAATGCCCAAATAAATCGTCAGGAAATGCATCGCGAAAGCGTGATTCCTGAGTGTCGAGGGCGCGGTGTCTGAACAAATGGCGAGGAAGTCCCACGCGAGTGCGCGATGTCTGCATAACTTGTGAGGAAGTCCCGCACGAAAGCGCGATTTTGGGAATAAATTGGGAGGAAGTATCAGGCGGGACCTGCTGCAGTTGCAAACCGGAGGCCAACAACCCAGTTCAGGTGACCTTTCGGTTTCCTTTGCAAGAAAAGGCATGAGCCCCGGAGAAGCACTTGAACTGAAAAAGCACCAAGTGCCCTATAGGGGAATCAACCATCAATATATTACAGAAATGAGGAGTCATCAACATGAACAACAACAACATCAATCAGGGACCCAACAATGTAGTGTCCGCCGCGCCGCTGTCTCGTTTTGCGTTTCTCCATCCCGCGCGACGTCGCCGGCCGGGGATGCGGGCTGGCCCGTGCCTGCCTCGACTCCGACGGTGGCGTCATCCGTTTTGAAATTCATGTCAAGCCCATATATCCCAGCAGCGTCGGCGAGACGCTGCCGCTGCATGCGCCCCTCCACACGATGAACGCCACGCGTCCCGTGCTGAACTTCACGCTGCATGCGTGGATCCCCAGGCTCCACGCGAAGATCCTCACAGTCCACACGAGTAACCTCGGGCGCCACTGGCGGACCCTCAAGCTCCACAGGCTGGGTTTCGCGCATCAAGTGCCGATCGTCCCGCTCCGCATCCCGAGCCTCATCCCCCCCTGGCAGGTCCCCTCGCTCCACATGACGAGCTTCATGCCGCACGTCATATAATGACCACGCTCCACACGCGGAACCTCACGCTCCACGTGCGGAGCCGCACGCCCCACGGGTGCGCCATCCCGCTCCACCTGCGAAACATCTCGCTCCACGGGCGGATCCTCACGACCCACAAGCTGTGTTTCATGCATCACGCGCTGATCACCACGCTTAACATGTGGATCATCACGCTCCACGGGGCGTACTTCACGCTCCACGTGCGCACCCTCGCGCTCCACCGGCTGGCTTCCATGCTCCACGTGCGGAACATCATGTTCCACGGGTGGAACCTCACGCCCCACAGGTTGAGTTTCGTGCACCGCGTGCTGATCTCTACACGGCCAACACGCGGATCATCACGCCCCACGGGAAGAACCTCACGCTGCACGTGCGGATCCTCATGCTGAACAAGCTCCGGAGGACAGCACCGTGTTCTTCGCGAACTTCGTGTTTTGGACCTTCGACGTGATCGGCGACGCGCATGACAAGGCGATGGACGCTATGAATATCGAGATGGAAACCGACGCCAAGCTCCGGTGGCCTTTCTGCTCGCACCGACGCCGCGTTCCCCGCCGTATGCAAAAGAGGTACGACCAGATGCTCACCGACACATCCATAGAATGCACGACCAGATCTCCACCAATATCCCCATCATGCACGCTGCGCTCGACCGCATCCAAAAGTCTACCATTTCGTCGTCAACATCTACTTCAACGGCTTCACACCGTTCTAGGGGCCCCGCCGCGCGGTTCATCCGCTAGCCTCATTGCGTCGCCCAGGCAATCGGCCAATTTCGTTCGAAATGGGTCGGCTCTTCTGGCCGCGCTTTCGAACACGCTGAGCGGTGGTCGCCCCCCAGCCGCTACAAATCACCATCATCATCACCACCAACACCATCATCACCCCCAGCACCATCATCTTCAACATCCTCATAGTCACCATCATCATCAACAAAATCATCGTCATCACCGGCGATTGCCGCATCGCGCGCGCATGCCACAACCGCGTTTTTCGAATCATCGCTTTCGCTGCGCCGCTAGCACTGTCAACCGCTGGTGCCAGTCGACGACTACGACGACGACGACGCCTACGACGACGACGACGACGACGACGACGACGACGACGACGACGACGACGACGATGCCGACGACGGCGACGGCCGCAACGGCGGTAACGACGGCGAGGGTGGCGACGACAACGACGAGGACGACGACGACGACGACGACGACGACGACGACGGACCACGTACGACAACGACGTTAGTGACGTTTGGACGACGAGAGCGACGAACCCTCCTGCCCGACGCGGTTGCAGGGGCGACGACGACGACGACGACGACGACTTCTCATGCCCGACGAGGACGACGACGGCGACGACGGCGATGGTGACGATAGCAGCGACGACGATGATGATGATGACGACGACGATGATGACGACGATGACGATGATGGTGGCGACAACGACGATGACGGCGGCGACGACGACGACGACGCGTCGACAACGGACGAGGGACCGCGGACGACAGACGGTGCGGACGGAGGTATTGGCGTCGGTGGCGACGACCGACGACGACGACGACGACGACGACGACGACGACGACGACGACGACGGACGACGACGACAACGACGACGACGACGACGACGACGGACCACGTACGACAACGACGCTCGCGACGCTTGGACGACGACGAGGCCGCCGCGATTACAGGGGCGGGCGCAGCCGCCGCCGCGCGCGTGGGCGCCCCGCGCGTGGGCGGCGCGCCCTCCTCCGAGCGCGATGAGGCGCGGCGTCGTCGTCATCGCCGCCGTCGTCGTCGTCGTCGTCGTCGTCGTCGTCGTCGTCGCCGTCGTCGTCGTCGTCGCCGTCTCGTCGTCGTTGCCGTGGTCGCTGTCGCTGTCGTCGTCGCGTTGTGGTCACCGTCGCCGTCGTGGTCGGCGTCGTCGTCGTGGTCGGCGTCGTCGTCGTCGCGGTCACCTCCTCCTCCTCCTCCTCCTCCTCCCTCCCCTCCTCCCTCCTCCTCCTCCTCCTGCTCCTGCTCCTGTTCCTGTTCCAATTTCTTCTTCTCCTCCTCCTCCTCCTCCTCCTCCTCCTCCTCCTCCTTACTCGGATCATGAAGTTCGTAAAGATCGTGCGCTCCTCCTCCTCCTCCTCCTCCTCCTCCTCCTCCTCCTCCTCCTCATCCTCTTCTTCCTCCTCCTCCTCCTCCTGCTCCTCCTCCTCCTCTCCTCCTCCTTACATCGGCAAGCCCAAGTTCGTAAAGACCGTGCGCTCCTCCTCCTCTCCTCTCCTCCTCCTCCTCCTCCTCCTCCTCCTCATCATCATCATCATCAGCAGCATCATCCTCCTCCTCCTCCTACTCCTCCTCCTGCTCCTCCTCCTCCTCCTCCTGCTCCTCCTCCTCCTCCTCCTGTTTCTTCTCCTCCTCCTTCTCCTCCTCCTCCTCTCCCCTCCCTCCTCCTCCTCCTCGTCCTCCTCCTCCTCCACCTCCTCCTCCTCCTCCTCCTCCTCCTCTCCTCTCCTCCTCTTCCTCCTCTCCTCCTCCTCCTCCTCCTCCTCCTCCTCCCCTCCTCCCCCTGTTCCTTACATCGGCAAGCCCACACGTCATCGTGAAGTTTGTAAAGGCCGTGCGTTCCTCCTCCTCCTCCTCCTCCTTCCTCCTCCTCCTCCTCCTCCTCCTCCTCCTCCTCCTCCTCCTCCTCCTCCGCCTCCTCCTCCTCCTCCTCCTCCTCCTCCTCCTGTTCCTCCTCGTCCTCGTTCTCGTTCTCATTCTCATGCTCCTGTCAGTCGCCGCCTCGTTTCTAGCTAGGTGCCCGACTGCAGGGAGGCCGTCGATACCTTGTGGACGTCCCGTCCCTAACCCTCAGCTCCGGTGCGGGCGCCTGGTCGGCCACGGCCTCGGGCCTTCCCGTCCGCTTTGGAGGTGTCCAGGTGCACATCGCCTAGAGTTCGGTTCGCTGGGTCACACGCGCTCTGGCCTGCGCGGCACGTGCTGCCTTTTGGGGGCTCTGCTCGCCGCGTGCGGGCCGACGCGTGCCGCGAGCGCCGGTGGCAGCGTGGCGGTGGTTACGAGTCTGGCTGCGCAGAGGGTCGCGCAGCTGCCGAGGGTGCCCGACCGAGCGGGCATCGCCAATGGGCGTCGGCGGCTGCGCCTCGCGCCCGATGCCCGCAGGTCAGGGGAAGCGAGCCGATTCGAGCGCGCTCCTCGGGAGCAGAGGCTGCCCGGGGGCGCAGTGGCGCGCGCCGCGGCTCCCCGCCAGCCGTGGCGTCCCGAGGGCCCCTCGGCCGCGGCGCAGGGCCCCTCGAGGCGCGCTGTGCCGGGCGCAGGCGGGCCGCTGGCCGCGCTTTGTACCACGATAATTCGCCACACGTGAGTTGTGTCATTTTGCACACCAGAGGATTTGTTAATCTAGCGCGCGCATGTGCACGTTCGGAGGCCATCCCTGTTTGGTGAGAGTCCCGTTCGGGCCCAAGTTGCCCAGTGCTTATGAGGACGCACTGGGGCGGACAAATCGTGCCCCCCCTGTCAGACCACAGGGTAGCAATGTTCTCTCTCTCTCTCTCTCTTTCCCTCTCTCTTCTCTCCCTTCTCTCCCCTGGCCCCTCTAGCACCAACAATCCCATTAAGTGGGATAACCTGTGGTGTGTAGCAGTAGCAGTAGCAGCAGTAGCACTAGCAGGGAAGATTGGCAGCAGTGCAGCGGGTTGTAGCATCCGTGATCGCATGTCGCGTTTTTTCCCCCGCCACTGCTGCGGCTCAAGTGCTCTCCGCCACAAGGCGAAGAGCGCGAGCGAAACAGAAACCCGACAGCGCTGCCGTAAAACAAGTGTCATATTATTGCTTTCCTTACTCTTACTTATCTCTTTCACTTACTTCTACTCTCAGTTCCAATACGTCTACGATGGAGGATTCGATTCTACCGTACGGCCCAGTGCACCGCAGATCCCCAGAAAGATCAGGTATCGATATGCCGCTGGCACTCCGGGGGGGTGGCCCCAATCCTGTCCAGGATCAACACACGAGGGTTATGAGCCCAAATCGTATTACGGTACCTGACCCGAACAGGGCAATACTGCACGGCTTCACGATGACATGCCAGGTGTGTCGTACTATGGCCGCCGAGCCCGCCACTTGCTCTAAGTGCGGAATGCTGGGACATCCACAGTGCTTGGGCCTGGAATTATTCCAGGACTTTCCCTTCTGCGGCGAATGCATCTTCGGCATCATCAAGGAATATTCCGACTACTCTACTCAGGTACGCCGCCAGGAATGGTAGAAGAACTGCATCCACCAGCTGGCCTCGTGGAAGGACCGCGCCACGACGGCCATGGGCGCATCTGCGGCGGTGGGCACAGCAATCGGGGGAGCTGCAGCGCTAGTTGTAGGAAGCACGGTTACGCTGGCGAAGGGCGTGGTTGCAGGAGCTTTGAATACCTCTGCGGCCGATGACCCCCCGCCAAGACCAGCATTGTGTGACCAACCAGAGCAACCAGCAGTACTAACACCACCACAAGCACACCCTGAGCCCAGACCCCCCAGACAACGGGCCAGTTCCGTGGGTAGGACGCCCGATGGTGGCGGACATTGTCTGGCCTGCCACACGTCAAACCCAGGCCACACCGCCCACCTACGGAGGGGCGATTGTGTAGGGTTCCCTGGTATGTCTTACTTTGGTAAGATTCCCAAAGCGGGGACGTCAGCGCTAGGTGGAACGCCGGCTGCGGGATCGGCTCCCGTACCGGCCCTGGCGGGATCGGAGCCCGCATCGTGACACGCGGGATCGGCACCCGCAGTGGCCGCAGCGGGATCGGCACCCGCACGAGGGGAACCACATGGGAAGGAGAGGCTAGGTGATCAGCAAGGGATCGCCAGCGGCGCATCTTTCGTGAGCGCCGAAGACGTTCGACCGTCATCACCGTCTGGGGCAGAGCAGCCGCAGCACCTCGTCGTGTCGACTCATGAGCTTCACCCTTCTGATCTTCATCTTCCGCAGCATCGCGATCCAACAGTTTTGCCTCAGACCGACGCGTTGCTACGAACACTTATTGACAAGATCGAGAAGTTGGAGCTTGCCGTGTCTCGTTTGGATCATGCGCATACGAGTGCGCAGGCCCGTGCCGATAGCGTCGCGGCCAGGGTAGACCTCGTCGAAGCAGCCGTCAACAGTTGGAACGATCACTCTTGGGAACCAGCACCGGCTGACGAAGATCAACAATTACGAAACTCTGGGATGTATATTCTTGAGGCCGCACCTCGGTCATATTCTCCTGGAGAGGTGGGATCGGTACCCGCCATCACTGTAGGAGGTTCGACGCTGGACTCGGGATCGGTACCCGGGCTGGCGTTAGCGGGATCGGTGCCCGCAGCGGGATTGGCACCCGCAGTAGTTGAGCAATACTGCCTCGCGGACGGCACCACGCCTCCCAGCGGGGGTACACCTAGGTTGGAGGGCGTGGAGGACAGGAGTTGGTGGACAGATGACAGGTCGCTGACGCCGTCCAATTTTGCTGCCATGGGGCAGTCCAGGATCGGCGGGGGGCCTGCGCAGACCCAGCACCAGGGACTCCCGAGCTTCGGGGGCCAGTCCTCCCATGGATCCCTGAGGCCAGACATGATGTCCCACAGAGCTCTCGGCAATCACGTGCACGCGGAGGGCGCTGGGATCTCATTTGGTAACGAAGTAAGGGCAAGGGGAGCTCACGATACAGGTATCGACATCCCCCCTGGACTCGCGCTTGTCTCAAGGACGCTGCCGTCAGCGACGGGCACTGGACCGGCAGCAGCGCCAGGACAAGGCAACGCAGTCCAGGCCGAGAACACGATCCTGGCACATCAGCTCGCGAACATCGGCGGCACCCTCGCCGACGGAGTTGTG